TTTCTTTTATAAATTATATAAACACATTTCTTAACTACTTGTACACTTAATCAAGTAAAGTAACTTGTTAACCAAAGATCTAACTTGTTACATTACAATATATTACAGAGTATAAGATTTATATTTTTTTAATATAATTTTATTTAATTATATATAAAATTAATTAGATTGCAAATTTATATTAAAAACAAAAAATTTTCTAATAATTTAAAATTTTATTATAAAATTATACTCTAATATACTATATATATAAACTTTTTAAAAAATTACAATAACTCTAATCTTTAACTAAGCTATTTAATTTTTTTAATACCACCACAAGTAAAAATTAGTTATAATGCAATATATTGCATTTATAAAAACAAAATAACTACATATCACCACTGGTAATCATCACCAGTGATTTACAGGTGTAACGTATAAATCAAAGTAATTTTTTAAAACAAAGGTTTAATTTTTTAATATTAGAGTAAGGGTAGGGATATGATGTTGAGGTTAGGCAAAGGTTATAGTAAAATTTTGCAAGAAATTTTTTTTATTAAAGCCCAAAAGGTGGTTTTATAGATAAAATTTTAAGATATAATTAATTTTTTAAAAATTCTTTGTTTTTGTTACACAAAATTGATTTACATGTTACACCTTATCTTGCAAATTAATTGGTTAATTATATACTGGTGATGATCACTAGTGGCGATAAATAGCAAACTCCTTATAAAAAATATAAAATTCTATAAATTTTACTATTAAGCTAAATGTGGAGATTTTTTAAAAAAATGTAAAGAAACCATTTTTTCTTACTAAGTAAACCACTCTTGGGCTCATAATGGAAGTTGTAAAGCTCATTAAAACGCATCTAATGATGATAAAAATGTTAAAATCAGCCTAGTGGTTCTTGAGAAATCTTTAAAAAACTTTTGCTAACATATAAAATTTCTAAAGAAATTTTATATGTTGGTGAAACATTTTTTAAAGTTTCTCAAAAACCACCAAGCTGATTTTAACGTTCTTACCACTATTAGATGCATCTTGATGAGCTCTACAACTTTCATTATGAACCCAAGAGTGGTTTACTTAGTAAGAAAAAATGTTTCTTTACATTTCTTTAAAAAATCATCACATTTACTATTTGAAGATTTTATATATAATTTATATATAAATCTTGTGTAACCTGCATCACATAGCTCTCCAGATGACTGGCGAATCATCTATTATAAAATCATTTAAATTTTTCTAAAGATCACCGCAAGTAATCACCACTCTATTGTATATTTACTAAAGAACCAAAATTTAGAGTTAGGGTTAGGTAGTATTAGAATAAAAGTAAAATTATATATGAAATTTTGTGTTGAAAACTTTTAATTAGTCTATAGTAAAATATCTTGTTATCGATGTTTTTTGGCTTTTTTTCTTAGTTTTACTATTGTTTTGGTTACACAGGATACTACGATTTGATTGGTCGAACATATGAGCGGTGATGTTTAGCAGATAATTAAAACTGATATTTAATGTAAAAAACCACTAATATAATTAAAATTTATTACATAAAAATTAACCAATTAGATTTGATTATGTAATTCCAAAATTTGGCACTTTAAAAAATTATTGGATGCTTTTTGCTGTTCCGTATAAAATAAGAATACACAAATTAAAAAATATTGTAATTTGATTGGCTAAAAAAAAAAATACAAATATACATTTTAACTAATACTACGTACAATCTAATTGATTAATACGTACGTATAATGCGTACATATTGTATTTTTACGTATGAATGTTGAAAAAAACAAAAAAATAGATTAAATAAAAATTAAATTGGTCAGGATCAAAAAATAAAATAAAATTATAAAATTTTAGAAAATAACCCAGTAACCCGGTTTTCTAAATATAATCAAAAATTTTGTGAAATTTAACCACCGAATTACGTACGAGAACCAATTTATTAAGTTTGTATGGCCTAACGTTATTGTAATACCAAATTTAAGATCTGATAGTGGAAGTATGAATAACCTAGACACAAACGTAAGATAACTAAAATGACGAATTAGCGATTATAAATAGATCTGAGCTTCGTTCTATGTCATGAATTAACATGTGACTATTATAAAAACTTGCATTATTGCATAAACCAAAGATCGAGGTCAACTTGAAACTTCACAATAAAGATAGGCAGTTAAATATGAGGCTTAATGACTTAACTCGGCAGCAATTTTATATAGAAGGCATGCAACACAGCAGATAAAAGCAGTATTCTTGGGTGGCTAAATTTTACCGAAACCGTATGTTTTAATATATTATGGTGCTAAGAAAATTTGAATGTAGGGGCTTAGCAGCTAGCACCTTTTTGTATTTGTATAAAATTACCTTATGGATGATCACAGCCTCGTCTTTGTCAACATAAACCAATCAAGCCTAATTCCGATAGGTGAAATTTCGTGTGACTTCCACATACTGCGGTGTAAGTATAAACCACATTTATCACGTGAGCAATTTCCTTTTTGTGATTACTGGCTAAAGGGGTTTATAGCCATATAAATATACTGGTCAGGTCAGCAAATCATCCTCCAATCCAACACTTATCAACAATTTAACATTCTCGTTTGACTCTCAACTTCTTATTGGACTAGAAACGACCAATACCAACACAAGCAGGTAAACTAAAGCAGACCACTAAGTAAACTCCTAAAGTGAAACTTTTGGAAATTTTTTCTTGAACCAGTTGTCGGAGTTTTCAAAGCCAACGTTGAAACATTCACACTTGTCTTTACAATACCGTTAACCTTTTTCTATTATATTAACCACTTTCTTGTTAATGTAATGCAGCCCCCTCCCATCCTCCCACCACTTGACCCAATTTCTTATTTAGTATTCACTAAGAATCGTTGTCATAAATGGATATAAAGGAACAACCTACTGAAAAAAATGAAGGACCCACAGAGTCATCATCTAATAACCAGCAAGAAGCTGAGCAACAACAACAGAACCCACAAGAACAACAGCATGCACAATATGATATCGCAGCTTCATACGCAAATCTTACTCATGCAAATGCTGCAGTAGTTGTTGATCCGGTAAGTCCTTATTGGCAATGGTTATTGTTTGAAACTTTATTTAACATAAGTCTTTATTATCCCTTATTACATACTATTTAGGCCCTTCAATCTGATCCGACAAAAGCGTCGGGTGCCTTTCAAGGTGTTGCCTACAGCCAACCGTATGGTCTGGTAAATAAAATAAAATATAATCATGATAATTTATGTTAAATATGTGAAATAATGTAAAATATAATTTGTTTAAATATGTCTCTAATCCAATATTTTAGATTATGAGCCCTGCGAACCCATTTGTTCTTGGTGCCACCAGTGCTCCCCCTACTGCATCATCAGGCATGGAAGAACAAGAAGAACCGCTCTACGTGAATGCTAAACAAGTAAAAAGATAATTTTATTATTTTATCATTTTAATAAAATAAATTTAAAAACTTTGCTGATTAGAGATGCGCAACATTTATGATAGTATCACCGAATTTTGAAAAGACGAGCGGCTAGAGCAAAATTGGAAGCAGAAAATAAAATACAGAGGGGTCGAAAGGTTCGAGAATTTTCAATTTTTTTATGAAACGACCAACTATTTACTAAAAGATTTTCCCACCCATTTTCGTGTAACAGAAATATCTTCACGAATCTCGTCACAAGCACGCAATGCGTCGGCCTCGTGGACCGGGTGGCCGCTTCCTCACCGCAGCTGAAATTGCGGAAATGGAACGGCAAGAGAAGAAGGATAATGAGAATTCTTCACAGACACAAGAAATTCAGCAAAATGGTTCTGGACCAGAATCTTTAACGCATATCCTAACTGAAAATGGTGTAAAACAAGAATTACGTAAATGAGATTAGATTTGCACAATTTTTTTGATGATCTATTTTGATAGCTAAAAAGGCATGAAATTTTGTTTCAATCTTCCACTTAATGTTGCAGCTGAAAAGTTTTGTACACTGCACTAAAAATTATCGTCATTATTTCATTTTTCATTAGATAGGTTATTTTATTTTTATTTTAGTTTTTCTTTTTTTTCCCTCTTATTTTTGATTTCGGGTTGGGTTTAATATTTTTCCGATGTTTCGTTTATCAAAGTTTACACACATTTTTCATCGCATAGACATTTTCATATTTGGAGGTGCTACTTTTGCTTGATCTAATGTTGCATTGAAATGTCACACAGTTTTTTTTTATTTTATTTTATTTTATTTTTTTTTTTGAAGCAAAATAAAAAAAAAAGTTATGTGTGTCATTTACTTTCTGCACCTTGTACCATCTATTAATCAATAATACATATAAACAGAGATTGTTATGGCATGGACATTTTATAATAGCCAATAGGCACATTTATAACGAGTTACACGGAAACATATGTGCATTCCCATAAGCCTTCATTCTTATTTGGAAATGACTTTCTCCCAAGTATTATTGAGTTTTGGTTGTTGTTAAAAAGTTTTCTAATCATTGAATGGGTGTACTTTGAAGATCATCAGATTATGAAAAGGGAAATTTTAGAAAGTCTTTAAGAATGGTTGTTGTATAACTCATGAATTACATGTATATCATAATGTTGACTGTGTGTGTGACTATAAATCATTAAATAGCTGAAAATCTAAAACTACTGATTGCTCCTACCCATTTGACAAGCCTGCATTGAATAAAAATTCGTCGCTCCTTCATAGTCCGTATTACTTTGGAATTGCTATTCCCAGATTTTGCACACGATTTTTGTGTTTCGGGGGTTCATTGACCTACTAAATAATTTCATTTATTTTAAATCAATAAATCAAATATATACACATATCAATAAATTTGGTAATTGGTTCGTCTCCCTTTTACCCCGAGAGAAAGCATTATTCTTCCCGAACGAATACCAAAACAAAAAATTTTATTCCTTCCTCATTTTTAAACCTTAATGGAGGTAATCAAATTAAATCTTAGGTCTGAAAAAACTGGTCCTCTACTCCGTGAGGTAGCTAGACACGTCGCACGCGCTAAACGGTGTATTATAATTACTGGTGCTGGTATTTCTTGTAGTGGTGGAATACCTGTAAGTAGTCTTTGACTAATTTGGATGAAATTAAATTCCTTCTCGGGATTTTCAACGCGTTTTTCGTTAGTTAAGACAGTTAAGCCTAACCTTTAGTGGTAATAGGCTTAATTTTTAAACTATATTTTCCCCTTTTTTTTCTTATAACTGTTATAAATAGGATTTTAGTAGTTCAGACGGTCTTTATAGCATGATAAAAAGTCAATATCCGGGTACTTTTCGTTCGGGCAAGGATTTATTTGACGCTGGCTTACTTAGAAACCATGAATCTATTAAAGCATTTTATCTTTTTATGGGAGTATTAAAAGAGTTGATTGTAAATGCTACACCGACAGCCACACATTTTTTTATAAAAAAATTGGCTGACATGAAGAAATTAAAAAGAGTATATACACAAAATATAGATAATCTTGAAGAATTAGTGGGATTAGAAGTGGATTGGCAACTTGAAAGAGTTAAACACTGTCAAGCACAAGTAGTTCAATTACATGGAACCATGGCAAAGCTACGATGTAGCGCTTGTACAAATAATTATTCTTTTGCGACGCAATATTGTGACGTTTTTAAGCAAGGTGAGGCGCCAAATTGCCCCGGATGTGAAGAGAGAGGTAAATATCACGAGAAAACGCGAAAGAAACGAACTTTTAATAAGATAGTTTAGTTTAAATTTTTTTCTTTTATCAATTGTATTTTAAATTGATAAATAAACGTGGATTTGACGAAATGTTGATTAATTATTAATTATTCACACTTCAAAAAATAGAGGACGCCAGAATCGAACAGGGTAGACGACCTCATACTATTGGACAACTGAAACCTACAGTAATTCTTTACGGTGATTCACATCCTAAAGGATTAGAAATTTGTCAAATTGCTGAACAAGATAAGGATAAAGCGGATTGTTTGGTTATAATGGGAACATCTTTAAGAATTCCTGGAGTAAAAGCACTCATAAAGGACTTTGCTAGAGCGGTTCATGATCGAGAAGGTTATGTGATATTGGTAAATGCTACAGATGTAGTTACTAAAGAATGGAATGGGTTAATTGATTATCAAATAGAAGGTACATGTGATGAATGGGTTAAACTTGTTGAAATAGAATTATCAAATATCGAAAGAACAACGGCTACGAGACTTTTGAAAAGTAAATCGGCCATAACAAATAATAAAGAACAAGATAAAAAAGAACGAAAGAAGAGTCGTGATGAAGAACCATTGGATAAGAAAGGAAAAAAAACAAAAGTTAACATAGATAAAAGAGTGGAAACGAAGAATTCAAATAAAGAATTAATGGAAACGAGAGAAAGAAAGAAGAGACGTCTTAATGATGAAGCAATAGAGAGAAGAGAAAGGAAGCCGAGAATTCTCAAAGATAAAATAATCAAGAAGAAGGAGAGAAAGCCAAGGAGTGCAAAATCCATACAATCAGATATAAAGGAAAGGAAAACGAGAGCTCTCAAAAACAAACTTTTTGAAAGAAAAAAAAAAAGACCCTTAACGTAGACCGTAGGGATGATAAAGTTAGTTTAGGTTCTAAACCTTTAAGTTCCAAGTTAAAACCTAAGAACCAGGTTTTTATATAAAAGTTCCAAACCAAAATTAAATCTGGTTTGGTTCAGAAACAAAATTTAAAACTTGGCTCGCAATATTTTGTAAGATGAAAAATAAAAATATGTTAATAAAAAAGTACTAAGCTTTTAGAATATATTTTTTTGATCTCCTGGAATAACTTTACTTGATATGCTAATATTGATTTATTTAATAAATTTTCGACTTTTGTAAGATAAAGGGGGGGTAATATGACGGGATGGATAAGTGGCAGAACACATAATACCGAAGTTAACACGGGGTCTATCAAATTGGGATCTAATGATTCATATACCATTCAATTTGTCTCACCAAGATGAATCGAAGGATAAAAAAAACATTCGTTTCTAATCACTGGATTACCAAATGACCATATAACATAAATGACATTTTTATTCATATGGAACGAGTAAGTACGTACGTACGTACAGTACATACATGTCGATCTGTCGATCCACACTTTTACCTCCCAAACGATAAAATAAATTAACTTGCTTTTATTTTCTATTTTTCTATATACTATAGAATTTAAATAAAATAAATCTAACATGCCATAATATCCCCTTTACCTTATGTAATGATTAATAGAAATATATAGCACGCACGTACGTACGTACAATATAAATCTTAATAATAATTTAGAGCATATCTATTTGTCACCGGGGTGTGATCGACTGCGCAAATTAAAAAAAAAACCTAAAAATGGTGCAAAAAGAAAAAACTCTAGGAACGATTTCGTGGTTCTAAAACCGACGACTCCGATGAAAATCACACCCTAAAAAAATATGACGTGACGATTCCACGGTCCTAACGACATCACCATCTGGAAAAAAACACGTTAGTAAACCAAAAAAAAAAAAACCCCAATAAAATTACACCAACGACGACGACTCCGGCGACTCTAAAACGACGACTCCAATAACGACGAATGCATTCTTGAAAAAAAGCACATTAATAAACATAAACAATAATTGTTACATCATGTCAACACCAGCGGCAAGCACATTTTCCCTTTCCTAAATTAGAACTTGGTTTTTAAAAACTAGATCTGAAACCAGATTCTACTTTTCCGAACCTAAGCTATTCCCGATGATTATTACAAGAACACCTTTGGTTTCTTAATTATTTGAACAATAAAAATCACGTGAAGAAATTTTGTGAAGTATTCGTAGTCGCGTGATATGCTTAGAATCATTATGATTGTTAGCATTTAAGCGAATTCTGAATGCTAGCCCGCATTAACCGTAGTTCTGGTCAATTTTTGTCGGGGTTTTGTTTGTCGGGATTTTGACCCAGAATCGCGAATTCTAATTAAATTATATTGCAAATTGAATAAAAACACTTCCATATTACAAGATGCAAAATTGAGTAAAGTATGAAGCAATTTGTATTAAAAATCCAAACATGTTAGGACTCTTAACTATATGTTATAAATACGTTTCTGATTTTTGAAGATTAAGCACTACGAAAGGTAACAATAAGCCAAACGTCGAGTAATATATAAAAAAATATACAGTAAAATTATAGAATTTATTGATTATATCAATTTGAATTACAAATATGAATAAATCGAGTCTCTTTTGCCTTGTATCATGAATTCTGATTTTAAGAATGAATATCAAGATTCTAAATACTCACTACATATGTAGATTGTTTGAATTCATAAATGTCGATTTAAAAAAATTTAAAAAAATTTTTTAATACATAGTTCTAATATACGCATGTAGATAAGACTAAATATTCACTTTAATACATATACACGTACGTACGTATATGAATTGTTTAGAGTCATATTTGTTTATTTTAGAAACTTTTATTAAATAGTCTCACGTTAAATTGTTTAGAAATTGGAGTTAAATGGTGAAGAGTATTTGATTAAATAATCGAAACACAAGACGGTGTCTTTTCAAATTGGGAAATATCAAACCAGAGAGATTTGTAATTGTGATGCATGATAGAACAGTTTTTTGAAATATCATTCTTGCAATAGGTTGGCTCTGTTTTATCTTCTGTCAAATAACATGAAAGCCTATAAAATATTAAAGAATAAGTTATTAAATGGTTATTTATGAAGTGTAACCCGATAGACAACCCTTTCTTTTTTTTATTTCGTACATCAATCATCGTAATTTGACGATTTACGCAAGAGATCTTGAAAATAGGATTTGTACGTTATATAAATCTTTATTGAAAAATAAAAAATATGTCGCTGAAATACGCATCAATATAGTCAAAATGGAATTACCGACATAAGGTTAATTATCATTTCCAAAATAAAAACAAAAAAATCAATGAGAGAATACTTATTCTCATTGAATGAGCTGTTGATTTTGGTATTACATACCGCGTACGTACCTCATTGTTATGTTTTCTCATTTTATTTATGGTTCAAGAGACTAACTAAAAATGAATAAAGATAATCTTTAAATTGTGCTACATGTGTTACACTTATTCTCATAAGACCGTAAGGTCTCGTACTAGGAAAGATTTGCCATTGCTTTTAGTGTTCACAAGATTATATTAAGAATTAAAAAGGTTACAGTATAATGGTTAATGTTTATGAGGTTGTCAGCTGTGCGAGTGTCTTTGTATTGTGATGCATAACATTAGTGTATTTGGGTCATTTTGCATGGTTAACAACGTTGCACTAAAATATTACAAATTAGATATGCATTTTGCTACCCAATCAATTACGCAGATGTCTGTTTTAACACATGATTTCTCAAATAATGAAACGAATAATTATTTTTTAAATATTCAAACTTATCTTTTTAGATAATTAAAAAGATAAAAATAAGTTTAACTGCCCAAAATGTTGGACTATCGAGATTTGAATATTACTTTTTAGTTTTATTTTATTTTATTTTATTTTATTTTGTGATATTGAAGCACACAAAACTATCGCATTATCTCAGTATATTTATATATTTTCACAGCAAAAAGAGGAATAGACCAAAAATTTTTTTTTAAAAAAAAATCAATATCTTGAAGAATTAGATTAAAATAAATTAATATAGTATAAAATTAAAACTTTAATTATTGGTCTTTTTTTTTTGCTATAAAGTTTTATTAACATATATATATAATAAAAATAATTATTAAAAAATTATATTTATAATTTTAAAAGTTCTAATTATATTGTAATATGCTTGCTTGACTTAACCAAATTGTAAATATTTCAATAGTTAAATGTGTCATCTTAAACAAAAATATTATATATAAAAGTGGTTAAAAAATGTGTTTAAACAAGAAAAATAGAATAAAAAGCTTAAACTAAAATAAAAATACTATAAAATAACTAAACAATAAATCAAAAATAACAGAATTTACTCAAGTATAAATCAGAGATATCAAATAAAAAACAATAAAAATATTATAAAATTACAAGATAATAACAGTTTATTATTAAGAAAATACAAGATAATAAGGTTTTTATTACAAAAATATAACTAAAATTAAGAAAAAAATAAGGTGTGAAACAGATATTGATGTTCTTTTGCCTTAGGGAAAAAGATAAAGTTTAAATATCTTTTAATAATACCATGTTTTTAAACAATAATATAAAATATAATAATACAGTATTATAAAATATTGTAATGTTATAAAATAAAGCAATAATACTACAAACTATTGTAATAATAATATAAATTATTATAATAAAGTTATATACTACTATTTAAAATATTATAAATTAATAATAATACTAACTAGGTTTAGATCGCAGAAAATTTTGTCTGAGTCTCTATTCTTGACATCCTTAGAATATAAAAGTCATATGTAATTTCTTTTCTGTAAATTTGCTTGTAAAGAGATTCAATTGAGTATTAATAAAGTTAGAGACATGGCCTCACCTTAAGATTCAAATAATAATATTAAAAATAATTATAATAATACTATTTTACAATGATAACACTATGTATTACTATAATACTACAATGATACTATAATGTTTAAAATTAGTAATAAAGCTAAATCATTAATAATATATTAATTTAAAATATTTTAAAATATTTTCTGTACTTTGTAGTCTTAGTTTAAACTTTATTTATATTAAATAAACTAATAATTAAATATCTAAACAAATACTGCTTTAAATAGAATTTTGTAAAAAATATACTAATAAAATATATAAAAAACTTTTGTTTAAATACAGTATTTAAAATAAATATATTATAAACTATATAAATAAACTATAAAACTATAAAATATATAATCATAATACAAAATATATAATAAAATTTAAAAAAATATATAAGAAAAATTACAAAAAAAATTTATTTATATTATAATATTTAGATTAATATAGTAAATATAAGTTAATTGAAAGAAATTAGCTATTTTTTTTAACTTAGATAATTATATTAATGATCAGATTTAATAAAGTTTAGTTTATAAAAGATCTATAAAACTATTTCTTTTGTGTGGCGACTTAGTGAAGTTGGTAAGTTGTCACATCCCAAGCGGCAGGACAAGAGTTCGAATCCCACTGGTGATGAAATTCGAATTTAAGGAATGTGTTACAGTAAATTGTATGTAATCTGATGGATCATCAGATCTGTAGCTTTGGTCATACTAGCTTGTACTAGAAAAATGTAAAACTATAATATGATACAAGAGTTACATAAAAACCTAAGTGAACTATTTGTATAAATCCAAAGGCTGGGATATATAGAATCC